TCATCACCATCATCGGCAACAGCATCATTATCATCACCAACATTATCAGCAGCAGCATCACCAAGACCGCCATCACCATCAGCATCATCACCATCGCCGTCAGCATCATCAGCATCATCAGCATCGTCATCATCAACATCATCGTCATCATCGTCAGAACCATCGTCAGCATCATCATCATACTCACCATCACCATCATCACCATCATCACCATCATCATCGCCATCGTCATCAGCATCACCAGCATCATCACCAGCAGCATCATCAGCATCACCATCACCGTCATCACCATCATCACCAAGAGCAGCAAGACAACGATACGAATCATCATCATCACCATCATCACCATCATCGTCGTTTGTATCGGCATCCCCAGCGACGTCAGCATCATCATCATCAGCATCATCATACTCATCCTGATCAGCATTATCATCAGCAGCAGCATCACCATCACCATCATCATCAGCACGTCATCATCAGCACCATGATCATCGTCATGAGCAGTAGCATCATCACCAGCATGATAACCATCATCGTCGTCATCGTCATCATCATCAGAATCATCATCATCAGCAGCATCATCATCCGTCTCCGTGTGGTTCTCCTCCTCCTTCTCCTCCTCGTTCTTCTCTTCCTGCTCCTCCTCCTCCTCCTCCTCCTCCTCCTCCTCCTCCTCCTCCTCCTCCTCCTCCTCCCCCATCCTCCTCAGCTGCAGTCGGCCGCGGCGCAGCCTCGCAGCTAGCACCTCCAAGGCTACCAGGTTGGCGCCCTGGGGCATCTCTTTCACTGCTCCTTGATTCCGCGCGCCCTTGAGACATACGATGCAAGACAGACGTCCTGACCATGGAAGCCACGCGGGAGAAAGGGAAGAAGGAGGAGGGAGGCTGGAATTGCGAAGTTGGCAGGCACGGGCGGGATGTCCATGGCAAAGGAAAAAGACCGTCTCCAGCGCCGCATCCTGAAGGAAATCAACGTCATTTGCCTTCTAGCCTGCCTCGCTCCCAACGGGCTTCTGAAGCCTCCGAGATGGCCCCAAGGTGGCCCAAGAGAGCCCCAACAGGGACCCCAAGAGCGCCCCGAGAGAGAGAGCCCCACGAGCGCCCGAGGGCGCCCCAGGAGCGGGGCCCCGGATCGCGATCTCTGAGTCTCCCCAGGCCCCCTCGAGTCATGAAAACATCACGACGGAAGGTTTCTCTATATTTTCCGCCTCTGGGGGCCCTTACCGGCCCTCGGGACCGTCAAAAAACAACTCAGGATGAAAAACGGATCCCGGCGATTAGGTCCGGACCTCTGGGGGTCGCGTCATGGAAAAAATCATGACGTCGGGGGTCTGGGACCGATTTGTCTTCGCAGGATCTCTGCGCCCCCCACACCACCACCCCCTCGCGAGGACCCCTGGCAGACCCTGCAGAGCCCCTGCCAAGACCCTGCAGAGAGAGGGCCCCCCCCCTCTCTTGCCGGTTACAACCAGCCCGTCTCACAAGGATGCGCGGTAAGGATGCAAGGGCCTTGGAGACCCCCATGAACGTTTCCCGAACGAGGCTTGCCAGCGGGTCGACTGCAGTGAAGCCTTGAGCGCACCTGTTCCAAACACGGGGGGTGCACGACAAATTCGAACTCCCGCGCATCTTTGAGGGCAGGGAGGGCCCCTGGCGAACTCCAGAAAAATGCAAGTGACCCCTTCGCTAGGGCCGCCGCGGCATGGGAACATGTATTCAATCATCCAACATTTGTCCCCGCCGTTTCTGCGGTCTCGACATGCTTTCGAGGCGGCCGTGTAGCTGCGTACATCTACACTTCCCCGAGTCGGGCAACTCGCCTGGCAATATTTCCATCGGTCTTGGACAGGCTCCCACAAATCTGGGACGGGTGTAAAAAAAAAACCCGATATAACTCCAAGACGACATCCCAGCAGAGCTGCACAAAAAAATGACTTACGATATTAAGTGCTAAAACACCCGACAAACGCTCCGACAGTTTCTGCGGCCCCCGCGCGTTGCCAAGGCAACCGTTCTCATGCAGACTTCTACAATTAACTGATTCATGCAGTTGGCCTGGCAATCGTTCCTACCAGTTAAAGATGCAATCAGAGTCGCGTGCTGGTCCTGGAGACAACACAAAGCACACGCCCGTGAATCCTTCCAGCCGGAGTTCAATGCAAGATAACTCCACGAAATCAACCCAGAAGAACCACGTGAAGCGGGGGCGGCAAGAGAACGTGTCCTCGGTTTTTGATCAACCGGGCCCGCCGCTTCGGCGGCCCCCGACACACTCCCAAAACAACCGTTCCACTGCATACTTCTGCACTGCCCTCGTCCTTGCAATCCTAGCAATCCCCCTGGCAATTTGTTATGGATACGCTGGTGGGGATACTGTTTGGTCCGTGGGCGAACGAAACGAATCGGACGCCGAGCAAGCAGGGCAGCGCTTGCAACCTGCAATGGCAAGAACAGGACGAGAGCAAAACCCGGCGGGGGGCGAAGCACTCAGTACGGCACGTAGACGAGGAGCACGGCAGGCGGGGGAGGTAGCACACCTTACCGTACTGGTAGAACTTGAAGCGCTCCCGAGCACCACGAGCGGGAACGCAGCCAAAATGGCGCGAGAGAAACGAGGCCCCTCGGCGGCCAGAGTGCGCAGATAGCGCAGGTAATTAGACGAGCCACTAGCCAACCATGCGCGAAGAGCAGGTCATCCGAGAAGACGCGGACGGTGCATACCCGAGGGAAGACAGGAACAAAACTTCTCGCGCAGGTAGGACAGCGGGCCAATCGACATGACCAGCGCCAGCAGGTCATCCGACAAGACGCGGGCGGCACACGCCCGAGGGCTGGGTAGACAGGAACAAAACTTGTCGCACAGGTAGGGCAACAGGCCAACCGACGCGACCAGCGCCGAGCGCCCCGCGCGCACGAAACTGGAAACTGAGGATGACCGACACGAGAAGGTCGCGCATGCGAGCGCCGCCCATCAGGTAGCCCGAGGGCGGGGCGGCGGGCGTCCATGATGAGGTCGGCGCCCGCAAGTGCATGCCAGGGGGGCCGTGGCGACTCGGGCGAAGGGGGCCACTGGCAGGATGGGGCACGTTCGTCCGAGTCCAACCGAAATTCACCCTCGCGGCCATCACGCGGGGGGACGGACGACAGACGACGCCCCGGGGGACCTGGCGCTGCACCAGCCGGACCAGATCCACAAGAGGTTAATATGAGGCAGGTGATCGCTGCAAGCACGCAGAAACACTCGACAGAGGAATACTCAAGGTGGGGCCCGCAGCTCATCGCTGCAACGAAATGGGTGACCTCGACAGAGGTATACCCAAGGTAGAGCTGGCAGCTGAACGCGCGGTCGAGGACTCGCCGCCAGAACTCCAGATCGCGCCCGCGCAGTCGGGCCCCGCGCCCGCGCCGCCCGACGCGCCCTCGCTCATGATACGAAAGACGAACAATGCAAAATGCAATGAGGACACTAACTGTTTCTTACAGTGGCCGGCGAAGGCTCTGTCTCTAAGCCAAGGTGGCCACGGATGCAGCAGCAGTCCTCGTCTGCACCGCGCCTGAAAATATGCGGCTGCATTGAGCAATGCTTATAGCGATTCAGAGGAGATGGGAGGATGACCACAGAAGGGGAAAGAGAACACGTTGGCCCCAAATTGCGTTACTAACTACGCAACAGGAGAGGCTGATGGAAGAGGCATCCGTAGGCATCACTCACTGCACCCCCCCCCCGCCTAGGGGCGCCGACACCGCGGCCGCTTCGGCGCGGGCTCGTTGTGCCAGGGCGCGCTCTGGAACCTCTTCGCCGACGTCGCGTGCTCCTCTGGGGCGAAGATCTCGGTCGCCTGGGGCAGCTCGCTGTGCCGGGGATGCGCTCTGGAACCTCTTCGCCGACGTCGCGTCTTCCATCGAGAAAACGACCCTTGGCAAGGGCAGCTCGGAGATCGCCTGGGAATTCGTTCCCTCGGTGCCCGGCCTCCAGGCAGATCGGGCGCGCGTTGCGCGGGGGGAATTTCGCCTCGTTGCCCGCAGTGCTCACGCCCTCCTCTAAGAACGCCCTGTACATCGCCTTCTCGCTGCCGCTGCACTTCGCAAGCATCTTCGGTAAATCGCCCAGCTCCTAGAGCGCGCACTTGCGGTGGAGCGAACACAGCAGCTTGATCCACGCCTTGGTGTCGCCAGGCCGCGGATGAGCAAGCGGCGAATTCCCATCTCGCTTCCTTGGGTCATATTTACCAAACACAGCAACAGTGGCCGATGAACCAGCGGCGGCCCCGCTCGGCGGCAACGCCCGCCAGCGCCACTCGTTGTCCGCCAGCTCGATCACCTGGTCGCGCGCACCGTCCGCGGAGCTGATGCGCAGCTCCTGCGCCTGCTGCCCAGAGATCTCCTGCGCCTGCTGCCCAGAGATCCGGCGGCGCAGCCAGCGATCGGACCGCCCAGGTCAGTTGGACTTGGCATCGATCCACCGCTCATCGCTAGGGTTCACCGGCGTCTCCAGCTTGCAGGTCGAACGGCACCAAGCGAGAAAGAGCCACTGGCTGGCGCAATCCAAGCTCGGTGCTGGCAGAATCCACGTCTGCAAGGATGTAACTCTTCAAGCCCACAACTTTCTTGACAGCGATGGGCCTCTGGTCGGTGAGGGGCTTGAGCCGCGAGCTCGCGCGGGCCCTATCCGCCGCCCTTCCCCCCGTCTCTCGGGCAACGCGGGCCGCCTCGGCTGGCGGCTTCCGCGAGAGGACAATGTCCCCCACGCTGGGAAGCCACTCGCTGGCCAGCTCCCGCTCGCCCTTGCTGCGCGTCTTGGAGTAGCGGTGACAGTGGTCGGAGTAGCGCTGCGGGTGGCCGAAGCGCTGCTCTCTGTCGTACTGCTGGTCCCACTTGCAGAGGTCGAGCTGGAGCTTTTGCCCCCCGTCGTGATGCTTGCCCCACCTGCGGAGGTCAAACTGGAGCTGCTGCTGCCCGCCGTGCTGCTGGTACCCGACGCGCTGATCTCTGTCGTGCTCCTTGCCCCACTTACAAAGGTCGAACTGGGGCCGCTGCTCCCCGTCGTGCTGCTGGACGCGGTGAAAGTGGTGAGCGAAGTGGTGCTGGGCGCGGTGGCACTGGTCGGAGTAGTGTTGCTGGTGCGCGAAGTGCTGCTCTCTGTCGCGCTGCTGGTCCCACTTGCAGAGGTCGAGCTGGAGCTGCTGCTCACCGCCGTGCTGCTTGTCCCACCCGTGGAGGTCAAGCTAGAGCTGCTGCTGGCCGTAATGCTGCTGGCGCCCGACGTGCTGCTCTCTGTCGTACTGCTGGTCCCGCTTGCAGAGGTCGAACTGAAGCGGCTGCCCCCCGTGTGCTGCTGGACGAGGTGAAAGTGGTGAGTGTAGTGGAGATGGACGCGGTGGCACTGGTCGGAGTAGCGCTGCTGGTTCTCGAATGGCTGCTCTCTGTCGTACTGCTGGGCCCACTTGCAGGGGTCGAACTGATGCTGATGCCCCCCGTCGCGCTGCTGGGCGAAGTGAAAGTGGTGAGTGTGGTGGTGCTGGACGTGGTGACAGCGGTCGGAGTGGCGCTGCTGGCACCCGAAGTGCTACTTTCTGTCGCACTGCTGGTCCCACTTGCAGAGATCGATCTGGAACTGCTGCTCCCCTTCGTGCTGCTTGTCCTACTTGCGGAGGTGAGGCTAGAGCTGCTGTTGCCCGTTTCGCTGCTGGTGTCCGACGTGCTGCTCTCTGTCGCACTGCTGGCCACACCTGCAGAGATCGAGCTGGAGCTGCTGCCCCCCACCGTGCTGCTGGACGAGGTGAAAGTGGTGAGTGTAGTGGTGCTGGGCGCGGTGACAGTGGTCGGGGTAGTGCTGCTGGCGCCCGAAGTGCTGCTCTCTGTCGCACAGCTGCCCCAAATGCAGAGGTCGAGCTGGAGCTGCTGCTCCCCGTCTTGTTCCCACTTGCGGAGGCCAAGCTGGAGCTGCTGCTGCCCGTAGTGCTGCTGGCACCCGCTATGTTGCCCTCTGTTGCACTGCTGGGCCCACTTTCAGAGGTCGAGCTGGAGCTGCTGCTCCCCGTCATGCTGCTTGTCCCATTTTCAGGAGTCAAGCTAGAGCTGCTGCTGCCCGTCGTGCCGCTGGTACTCGACGCGCTGCTCTCCGTCGTACTGCTGGTCCCAGTTGCAGAGGTCGAACTGGAGCTGCTGCTCCCCGTCGTACTGCTGGATGAGGTGTAAGTGGTGAGTGTAGTGGTTCTGGACGCGGTGGCAATGTTCGGAGTAGTGCTGCTGGTGCCCGAAGTGCTGCTACCCGTCGCACTGGTGACCCCACTTGCAGGGGTCGAGCTGGAGCTGCTGCTCCCCGCGGTGCGGCTTGTCCCACTTGCTGAGGCCAAACTAGAGCTGATGCTGCCCGCCGTGCTGCTTGCACCCGACGCGCTGTTCTCTGTCGCGCTGCTAGCCCCACTTGCAAAGGTAGAACTGGGGCAGCTGCCCCCCGTCGTGCTGCTGGACGAAGTGAAAGCGATGTGTAGTGGTACTGGACGCGGCGGCTGTGGTCGGAGTAGTGCTGCTGGAACCCAACGTGCTGCTCTGTTGTACTGCCGGTCCCACTTACAGAGGTCACACTGGAGCTGTTGATCCCCGTCGCGCTGCTGGATGTGGTGAAAGCGGCGAGTGCAGTGGTGCTGGGCGCGGTGGCAAGGGTCAGAGTAGCGCTGCTGGCACCCGACGCGCTGCTCTCTGTCGTGCTGCTGGTCCCAGTTGCAGAGGTCGGGCTGGAACTGCTGCTCCCCGTCGCGCTGCTTGTCCCGCTTGCGGGGGTCAAGCTAGAGCTGCTGATGCCCGCCGTGCTGCTGGTACGCGACGCGCTGCTCTCTGTCGCGCACTTGCAAGAGGTAGAACTGGAGCTGCTGCTGCCCGCCGCGTTGCTGGATGAGGTGCAGGTGATGAATGCAGTGGTGCTGGGCGCGGTGGCAGTGGTCGGGGCAGTGCTGCGGGCGCCCAAAGTGCTGCTCTCTGTCGCACTGCTGGCCCCACTTACAGAGGTCGAGCTGGAGCTGCTGCCCCCCATCGTGCTGATTGCCCCACTGACGGAGGTCAAGCCAGAGCTGCTGCTGCCCGGTGCGCTGCTGGTACCCGACGAGCTGCTCTCCGTCGTACTACTGGTCCCACTTGCAGAGGTCGAGCTGGAGCCGCTGCCGCCCGTCGCGCTGCTGGGCGAAGTGAAAGTGGTGAGTGTAGTGGTGCTGGGCGCGGTGGCAGTGGTCGGGGTAGTGCTGCTGGCGCCCGACGCGCTGCCCCCCGTCGTGCTGCTGGTCCAAAATGCAGAGGTCGAGCTGGAGCTGCTGCTCCCCGTCGTGCCGCCTGTCCCACTTGCGGAGGTCAAGCTAGAACTGCTGCTGCCAGTCGGGCTGCTGGTACCCGACGCGCTGCTCTCCGACGCACTGCTGGTCCCACTTGCAGAGGTCCAGCTGGAGCTGCTGCCCCCAGTCGTGCTGCTTGTCCCACTTGCGGAGGTCAAGCTGGAACTACTGCTGCCCGTCGTGCTGCTGGTACTCGACGCGCTGCTATCTGTCCCACTGCTGGTCCCAGTTGCAGAGGTCGAGCTGGAACTGCTGCTCCCCGTCGCGCTGCTGGGCGAGGTGAAAGTGGTGAGTGAAATGGTGCTGGGCGCGGCGGCAGTGGTCGGGGCAGTGCTGCTGGTTCCCGACGCGCTGCTCTCTATCGCACTGCTGCTCCCACTTGCAGAGGTCCAGCTGGAGCTGCTGCCCCCAGTCGTGCTGCTTGTCCCACTTGGAGGTCAAGCTAGAGCTGCTGCTGCCCGTCGAGCTGCTTCTACCCGACGCGCTGCTCTCAGTCGTACTGCCGGTCCCAGTTGCAGAGGTCGAACTGGAGCCGCTGCTCACCGTCGTGCTGCTTGTCCCACTTGGAAGGTCGAGCTGGAGCTGCTGCTCCCCGTCGTGCCGCTGGTGCCCGACGTGCTTCTCTCTGTCGCACTGCTGGTCCCACGCGCAAAGGTGGAGCCGAAACTGCTGCTCCCCGTCGTGATGCTGGACGAGGTGAAAGTGGTGAGGGTATTGGTGCTGGACGCGGTGGCAGTGGTCGGGGTAGTGCTGCTGGTACCCGACGCGCTGCTCTCTGTCGTACTGCTGGTCCCACTTGCTGAGGTCGAGCTGGAGCTGCTGCTCCCCGTCCTGTTGCTGGCGGTTGTGATGCTCGACGTCGCGCTGCTCAACGTGCTCGCACTGGCGGAGCTCACCGTAGTGAGACTCCCGGTGGTCGCAGACAGGGTCGTGCTGGAACTCTCGGAGGTTGTGCTCACCATGGTCGGGGTCTCAATGGTTGAGGACACCGTTGTGATGGAACTCTGGGTAGTTGCGCTCCCTGTGGTCGAACTCCCAGAGACGGTAGACCGCGCCGTGGTGGAACTGTCGCTGATTGTGGTTGGTGTCCCAGTGGTCGAGGACCGGGTCGTGGAGGATGTCGCGCTGGTCGTCGTAAAACACTCAGGGCAGCTAAACATGCAGCAAAGGTTGGCAAAACAGACGCGCAAGTTCTACAATCAAGTCCCGGCTGATCTTTGAACATCGAGCCAATAGGCTTGAGCCGCAGGGGCTACGGACCTGGTGGGGATACTTTTTGGTTCGCGAGCGCAAGCGGAGGAACCACGCGCCGTCAATAAAACCACCGAGGGTCTAAAAAGCAGCGGCCGGAAACGGGGCACTACACGCGCAGCGAGCGGGAAGCCGAAAAGAGAATAGAGGCAGGGCCCGCGTGCCGAAGAGGGACCCTCACCAATCTTGTCCTCGGCGAGCATGTCCCCAGCGACCTTTGCCCCGACGAATTTGTCCTCACCAAACTAGTCAACGATCTGGCGGGGGCCGAACGTGACTCACCAACGCCGTCGTCGAGTACTAGTCTTGTGAACACACCACGTGGGCCAGCCTCGCGAAGAGGCCTCTGAAATCCCAGCGACCAGCCTTCCACTCAGTCGACGTACCACGGGGCAAACCAACGCGCGGGGCGACGGGTGCGAGCCGAGGTGGCGCCGTGCCGTCGAGAGCACCTCCCAAGGAAGACAGCCGCAGGGAGAGGGCCCATGTGTTTGCTCGCGACCCCCCTTGTCACAGGGTAGCGCTTGGGGCCACGTAGACACTGCGGGCCTAGTGGGGATACTCGAAAGGTCAAGAGTTCCACTGAAACCGGAAAGAAAAAACCTTTGGCAACGTACAGGAGACCGCCAGAACCCGCTCGCCCTTGAGGAAGTTCCACCCCAAAGCTGTATCTTGCCTGGGCCATACCTGGATCAGCCCCGACCCTTTCCCCCGGGACCGGCTTTTCATCATCAGGCGTACAGTCAACCCCCATCAGAAGGATGATGCGCGGCACGGGTGCAAGGGCCTTGGAGGCCCACGTGAACGTTCTTCGAACGAGGTTGGCCAGCGAAAGTCGCTGAGGATGGGCCGACGGGGCAAGTATGCGGTACCCTTGGGAAGGTTGCCCATATCCTCACTATGCGGGTTGACTGCAGTGCTCGCGGCAGGGGCCCCCCGAGGCCGAACAAAACTGCGGAAGCACTCCCGTCGTGCTGCTTTCGGGGCACCGTGGCACACGTCCCGACCGCAGGGCCCCGCCCTCCGAGGCGTCAGCTGATGCGGGCCAGAGCGCCTTCCGCAGGTGCGGCGTCAGGCGGAACTCCACGGGCAGCTTGCTGTCCGTGCTGAAGCCCAGTTCCACGCCGTTCAGCCAGGCGCGGCAGGTGCAGCACACGGCGCCGATGTGCAGGAACACCTGCCCGATCGGGGGCGAGACAAGGCGAGGCGAGGCGAGGACGACGACGAGGACGAGGAGGAGGAGGAGGAGGAGGAGGAGGAGGAGGACGACGACGACGACGACGACGGAACACCGCCCCGAGCGGGGGCGAGGCGAGGCGAGGCGACTCCCAGCTGGCCCGTGAGGGCGGCCGCGCGCGGGGCTATGCATGGGCGCCAGGGCGCCACCGAATCAGCCGAGGGGAAGCATGCTTTTTCTTGCACGGCGCACCCTGGATGTCATACAGTGGAGGCCCGTCCACATGAAACCTTCCGCAAGAAACCTAACCCTAAGACCCCAGGACGTCCGTGGATTTCTGATGTGCGACCGTCACGCTTTCCGTGGCAAAACCATCGAAACCCAGGAAACCCAGGGCACTCTGGAGGCAAGCAAGGTGTTTCTTGGCATGGGTCTCCACTGTTTGAGCAGGGACCGACCGTCCCGGCATTCCTATAGTCCTACCACGAAATGCTATTAAAACCTAAAAATGTTCAAATCACAAAAACAATGTTCTTAGAACATAAAACCGATGTGATAGAACACGACAGTCCCAACCAGAAATGTTCTAAGAACATGTCGTGGAAACCACACAATATTCTTAGAACATTGTTTGGTAGGGCTATAGGAACGCCAAGGCGTTCCGCCACTGCTTGAAGCGTAACTTAACAGAGTGGGGGGGGACACAACCCTCCTAGAAGAGTCATGTCAGTCACACCGGAGGCCGGCCAAGTCCAGCCTTTGGCCCAGACTTAAGTCGGGCCTGTCCCCCTACAGGCCGATTTTGGATGAAACATAAAAAATACCCCCAAAAATACTCCAAAAATGCTTAAAAGTACTCAAAAAGTAGTCCCCAGACTATTTTTTACTATTTTTGAATATCCCCCCTGTAGAGGGACAGGCCCGACTTAAGCCTAGACCCCCCCCCCGAACACTCCTGAGGGGGGGGTATGAGTTCGATCCGTTGGTGCACCGAACCGCCGCAAGCAGATCCCCCCCACATGCCCCACCCGTCGGCAACTATCGGGAGCTGGCGGCGGCTGGGTGGGGGGGCATCTGTTTTGGGCGGTTTGGTGCAAAAACCGATCGAGCCCTCTCTCTCACACAGACACACACGCACACACACACACACACACACACACACACACACACCGGGGCACACACACACCCTTTGCGGGATCCCGACCCACATGTGACTCTCCCACACTTGATCATGAAATCTGGAGAGGCCGACCTCCAACTGTGGCCACATATCGCTTTCCGACGCAGCGGTGTCACCCCCAGCCTCTCCCCCGATCGGGGGACGTCGGCCCTCCATCTCACCGATGTTCAGGCAAGGCCTCGTCACAGGGTCTGGTATCGGCGCAGTGTGCCCTCCTAAACTGGCCAGGGGGGCGAGGAAGAGGGGAAGGGGAGAAGGCGGAAGGGGGAAGAGGAGGAAGAGGAGGAAGAGGAGGAAGAGGAGGAGGAGGAGGCAGCGGGAGAAGGAGGCAGAGGGAGGAGGAGGCAGAGGCAGGAGGAGGAGGAGGAGGAGGAGGAGGAGGAAGACGAGGGCGCGGGAGGCCGACGCCCATCGGCCCGTTGTCGGCGCGGGCCCCATCCCCCCCCCCCCCTTGAAGGGGCTCTGGGAAGGGGGAGGGGGATGGGTTCCCTTTGAAGGGGCCCATCCCCCCCCCTTCCCATATGTTCCCATATTTTCTGGGAATCGACGATTAATTGTGTCTGTGTGTTTTTTACCCTTCTGACCCTCGGCAGGGGACGGCCCAGGGACTCTCCCTTGGGCCAAGTTTTTGATCCCGGGTCAGTTCTGGACGGCGCCAGGCCCCATGGGAAGGGGCCGGGAGACCGACAGCGGTTGAACACTCCAGGGCCCCTTTCCCTCCAGGAGCTCTGTTCTTCATGGCTGCCTCCCCTTTCCCTTCTCCCCTCCTCCCCTCCTCCTCCTCCTCCTCCTCCTCCTCCTCCTGCTCCTCTTCCTCCTCCTCCTTCTCCTCCTGCTCCTGCTCCTCCTCCTCCTCCTCCTGCTCCTCCTCCTCCTCCTTATCCCCCTCCTCTCCCCATCCTCCTCCTACTCGTCCTCCTCCCAGAGGCCTACATAGAAAGAAAGAGAGAGAGAGAGAGATAACAATCAACAACAACAACAACAACAACAACAACAACAACAATCATTTTACCCGAACGCTCAGTGTTCTCACCAGTGCCAGGGTTTTCATGCGACGCGAGACAATACCCCCACTTCGTGGGGGGGCAGTTCAAGCTCTACCAAATATCCAAACGACTCTTCGCGACCACCCAAACCCAGCTTCCCGCCCTATGACGTTGGGACACTTCACTTCGTGGCGTGCGGACGACCGTGGCTACTACACTGGCGTGGGGTACACACCCACAGAACTTGGTCACTTATTCGGGGCGCGCGTGTGCCCAGCATCCTGCAATTGTGACATACAATACATGACACAGACAGACAGAGAGAGAGACAGAGAGCAGACAGAGAGAGAGACAGAGAGAGCGGAGTTGGTCACATTTTTGGGGCAAGTTCCTGAGATCGTCGTGTTTTTTGTTGGTCTTGCGCGCGCGAATGTCCACTTTACTTTTTTTTGCAAGGGAGTATTGAAATTTGATTATGTTAGAACAAGAAAAAGTAGCTCGCGCGAGCTCATGTAACATAAATGTTGAAAAACCATTGGTTTTGTGGGAGTCGGACAGCGCGCGCGGGATGAAATTTGGACATTTTTTTTTGAAAAACCATTGGGTTTTTGATGTTTTTATGTTGAAATCGTTACGAAACCTAAGGTTCTGGAAGGATTTCGTCTTGCGCGCGCGAATGTCCACTTTACCTTATTTTTTGCAAGGGATTATTGAAATTTGATTATGTTAGAACAAGAAAAAGTAGCTCGCGCGAGCTCATGTAACATAAATGTTGAAAAACCATTGGTTTTGTAGGATTCGGACAGCGCGCGCGGAAGGACATTTTGACAATTTTTTCTTAAAAAACCATTGGGTTTTTGATGTTTTTATGTTAAAATCGTTACGAAACCTAAGGTTTTGGAAGGATTTCGTCTTGCGCGCACGAATGTCCACTTTACCTTATTTTTTGCAAGGGATTCTTGCAATTTGATCAAGTAAGAACAAGAATTTTCATTTTATAGTGTTTTTTGCAAGGGAAAGCGGGGGGGAACAAAACAACCGGATCCGGACACAATCGTTTTGCCTGAGACTTCCTCACGAAAATGATGAAAATGTAGCTGCGGCCTAGGCGCGGCGGGGGGGCCGTGCACCAGGGGTCCCAACAATAATTATTCTTTAGAAGAAATAATGTTCAACAACAACAACAACAACAACAACAACAACAACAACAACAACAACAATTACTAGCACGTGGGGACACTCCGTTCTCACCAGTGCCAGGGTTTTCATAGGAGGCGGGCAATACCCCCACTTTGTGGGGGGGCCGGTTCAAGCTCTACCAAATTTCCAAACGACTCTTCGCCACCACCCACACCCAGCTTCCCGCCCTATGACGTTCGGACACTTCACTTCGTGGCATGCGGACGACCGTGGCTACTATTCAGGGCCCCGCGGCCGACGACGACGGCGTGCGCGCGCGAAGAAAAAACGAATGTGTCCAATATGGTATTATTTGACAGGGATGATGGCCCTGGCATGCGCGCAACCGTTGTTGCAAAAGTTCGAAGCACGTGAAAAAGTTGCTCGCAGGAGCCCGCTTGACAGAAATATTGAAAAAATATTGGGTTTCCTCAGAAATCCGCAAGAGCGCGCAAGATGAATTTTTGAATTTTTTTTTTGAACAACCATTGGGTTTTTCATGTTTTTATGTTAAAATCGCTACGAAAACTAGGGTTTTGGAAGGATTTCATCTTGCGCGCGCGAGTGTGCACTTCGTGTCATTTGTTTCAAAGGATTCTTGAAGTTTGGTTATGTTAGAACAAGAAATTTCATTTTATAGTGTTTTTTGCAAGGGAAAGCGGGCGTCAACAAAACAACCGGATCCGGACACCCACGTTTTGCCTGAGACTTCCTCACGAAAGTGATGAAAATGTGGCTGCGGCCTAGGCGCGGCGAGGGGGGCGCGCACCAGGGGTCCCAACAATAATTATTCTTTAGAATAAATAATGTTCAACAACAACAACAACAACAACAACAACAACAACAACAACAACAACAACAACAACAACAACAACAACAACAACAATACTTTAGCACGGGACACTCACCGTTCTCACCAGTGCCAGGGTTTTCATAGGAGGCGGGCAATACCCCCACTTTGTGGGGGGGCCGGTTCAAGCTCTACCAAATTTCCAAACGACTCTTCGCCACCACCCACACCCAGCTTCCCGCCCTATGACGTTCGGACACTTCACTTCGTGGCATGCGGACGACCGTGGCTACTATTCAGGGCCCCGCGGCCGACGACGACGGCGTGCGCGCGCGAAGAAAAAACGAATGTGTCCCGCATGGTATTATTTGACAGGGATGATGGCCCTGGCAGGTGCGCAACCGTTGTTGCAGAAGTTCGAAAAAGTTGCTCGCAAAAGCCCGTTTGACAGAAATGATTAAAAAGTGTTGGGTTTCCTACGAATCCGCAAGAGCGCGCGGGATGAAATTTTGACATTTTTTTTTGAAAAACCATTGGTTTTTTGATGTTTTTATGTTAAAATCGCTACGAAAACTAAGGTTTTGGAAGGATTTCGTCTTGCGCGCGCGAATGTCCACTTTACCTTATTTTTTGCAAGGGATTCTTGAAGTTTGGTTATGTTAGAACAAGAAATGTCCACTTTAGCTTATTTTTTGCAAGGGAAAACCGATCGTAACAACACAACCGGATCCGGACCAACCCGTTTTGCCTGAGACTTCCTCACGAAAATGATGAAAATGAGGCTGCGGCCTAGGCGCGGCGGGGGGGTCGTGCAGCAGGGGCCCCAACAATAATTATTCTTTAGAAGTAATAATGTTCAACAACA